CCTTTACCAATAGACATTCCTGGAATACGAGTATTCTCTCGCATTCGTGGAGAGTATACACTTATTCTACCTGGCGACACTCGCCTGTATATATTCTTAATGGCGTTTTGATAGGCAGGAATTATAGATGTAAAAACTGCTGGACCATAATCCTGGGCCCCAAGCGGTTAAGGTTAGTATTATCCTCAAGAGCCTTGGAAACCTTCTGCGACCGCAATTCGTTTACGACGAAACGGCTGTAAAGACCGATAGCAAAATTGCCTCCAAAGCCAGGGCTGGAACAGAGGAGGTACTTACGGACAAACTTCCGAGTTATATAGCACGATAAAATGATATTTTCCAGTGCCATTTTTAAACGTGAAAATGAGTTATTTAGTCCCGCGTAGTCCTTACTTCCATGAACTACTCGTGTACTTTAAGCAGGCTTAATTTAACCACTTCTCTTTTGCTCATTCTCGTCAAGCCTTTCACAATGTGGCCATTATAGTTGAGCCTAAGTTGAGGACTGGAGTTAAGGGTGTAGGATTATAATTAGGCTTTAGAAATGGTTTTAGGTCTGGGAGTTAGGCTATCAACGTTGTTGACTGCAATTTTGTTTGCAGTCAAGGTCATGACGGGAGTCGGAAGTGATCGGTCATCATGTGCTAGGGTTTAGTTTGCTCAAAATAGTTAACGCACGCCCTCAGTTTTCATATTTTTCCGTCCGTTTACATTTCGCAATTCCGGTATGTCAAGTTACGCAGTCGCGCTTGTACACTTTATTGGTTTTTTAAACAATGGAATCATGCAAATTTAATTTTTAAACTCTTGGTTTTGGAAAACATTTACCGACTAGTTTCGTTTCCATCGTCCATAAAATCCCATTTATAAACATTCCCGCATAACAAGACTATTTACCTCTTACTTTCTGAGTGAGGTACATACTCAGTCGTCACCGTTCTTGGGTATTATCTTCAAAACAGATGTTTCCATCCAGTACATTAATAAAATTCAGACTAATATTTGAGATTATAACCTTCTTGCTAAACTTGGTAAAATTCAACATAAAATTCCCTCCCACGTGTCTCATTCGGTCAAACTTAAATAAGTCAGAAAGGGGACGATTATTGAACAGAATAGACCCAATAAAATAGCTGTGGCCTTAGATATCCTCAGTTCACCCCGGGTATTTTGCCGGTTGTCTAATTTTAGGTATTCTATCTTCACTGGCCCGCATCCTCTTGCTGCATACGGGTAGCTTCGTCAATCCTTCTTCCACCTTGGCCAGGAAGACTTCAAAGGGGTCTCTGCAGGGTAGTCTGAATCTCTAAAACATCAGAGATATTTATTACTTCGAGATTGGCTGAACAACCGTATATTCGCCCGTCCTTTCGGGATAGGGCAAGCGAGGTAGGTGGACTTCAGGTTGCCACTGCGTAGGCTGCTGCAGATAACACTCCAAGGGCCGGGAGGTAGAACGTAGGAAAAAGCTGCTGTCAGTTGATCCCCTTACTAAAATAACAATAGCGTTAAAGTAAGCAAAACTTGCCCTGCCTGGTCGCGCCCTTCATTAGGTTCAGCTTTCCAGGGTCCCGAAGATAGTAAGTGCTAGATTCCGGCAGATCCATGTGCTCGCTCGGTTTGAGCTGCACTCAGAATGAAAAAAAAACAAGCTGCGGCTATAAGAGATGCGATTAATCAATTGGAAAGCTGAAAAAGCTAAGTGATCTGAGGGGGCGTATAATCACTCTTAAACAGCGCGGCAGATAGAATTCGTCGGTGCTGCGTACGCTATACTGCAGCAAAAATCCAGCAAAACTATTAAGTGACACCAAATTTGCATTAATCCGCGGAAAATGCTAGCACAGTACATTTGCACGGCTAGGAAATTGCCGTAAGAGCAGCATCCAATGCAATAATTCCTCGTATTCTGCTACGGCGGTTTTGTATGGCGGTTGGTAGTCAAACAGCAGCAGCTAAATGCCACCCGAAACTGAAACCAAGTGTGCAGCGCACAGTACGATAAGCTGCGGTGTTTTAGATCTCTGCAATGAATGAGCCGGGGCGATTATAGAATACAATCTCGGTTTAAATGTGTGTGAGAACATTTCCGAAAAAAATAGCTTTTTAGCACTACCACTTTTGGAAACAGGAACAGAGAAATATAAAAAGACTTGTAATTAAATATGAACAGGAGTAATATACTATGATTTTAGCGATATATGCATCCTTCAGGGGCGTACAAAGACCTTGCAAGTGGTGACTGAAATACTGTCATCCCTCCAAACCTTATTTGGCAGTGTAAAAATGACGGGTCGCACTTTTAACTCTTACACTTTCCTTCTCCGTGTCAGTACTCCTTTCATGAAAATTTTCCCTGGTATTATAAACCCTGAAGATCCAGGCTCATCGTATGGCAGAATTAGCCAGTAGCAGATTTTAGCAGGACTTCATGCTAAGGGGTTTCCGCTCGCCCTCACACATTTAAAAACTAGTTCAGGCATACAAAAAAACCATTGATGCCTATCTAACGTCCATGTAACCGATCGACTTAATTTTAGCATACGAGTGAAGCACATCACAGTTATCATCCCGTTCGACCTACCTCAGGAGAGGAACTGATTCCAGAATGAAATTACCGACAAGGACCAAGGAGAATGGAGTGGGCATTTCAGGCTCATGAGCCGTCATTAGCCAGCCATACAAATGCGCACTGTTCGGATGATAATTTATTTCCAAATGCCTAGATCTAACCCTCAGAACCTAACAGATTGTGAGAATTCACAGGTTATACGCTAATTCTGCAACAGTGATTTGATTATTTCCTCCTTGACCAATCACCATTCAAAGTAAAGGGGGAGCCTTCTCAGAGGCGTTACGAGCCACTTACCGGCAAGTGTCCCTTCGGTGTTCTAAAAGCAGGTGCAAATTCGCGTCAGATCAGGTACGCGGAATGAGAGGACACGTTAAAAGTGACGTTTTTCGCAATTGATCGGGTAAAGGTCGCTAATCACGGCAAGCCAGTTTTCGTGTAATATGGGGATTCATTTGCAGTTGTGACCCAGAAGTCAAAAAACGGCTATTGAGTGTTATACTTATTTTCTGACTAGTCCTTATGGAGCCTTCCCTTCCTGATAACGTAAGTTTTCAGTGACACATTCAAGGGGGCATAGTCGGCGTACGCCCAAAGGCAACTAGGTCCGTAAGATAAACACAGAGCGACTGGCCAACTGGCCTTAGCGACGAGACAGAAGAGGGCGTTGGACACGACAGCAATCGTCATCACACCGCCCATGACTTTACTAGGCGCCACCAGCCGGTTTTTACTTCCCTGGATCAGAAAGAGAGGGAAGATACAGTTCACTAGGCAACCATGTACACGGTCTGTACGTCCAGCGGAAGCGCAGACGCAGCCATCAACAGGAAATTAAGTCCCAGAAAACTGCCAGCGCACACAAGAGCACAAGGACCATGGTTTGCTGAAGCGTGACGTAGCATACGCACCCAATCTTTAGAGCCCAGAAGGGGGAGAAGGGGACAGCCCCGCACTTAGCCTGTGTCAGTACCCTTCAAAGGCAGGGTAACCATTTAGGCATCGATTAAGAGGTTCTACCAATAAACCTCTTGTTCCAGCGATCGCTTAATAAGTGCCCCTCTTTATATTAAGCGTTCTTAGTGTACCATTCTGTGCCTTCACTGATGTGCACCGACTTGCGTTTACGGTTGGTTACACAATAGTTCTCTGTACCAGCGACTGGCCTGCGCAACAGTCCGGTAGTGGGTGGGTTAAGAAACGATGTGTCATCATCTTTAGCGACTCTGTCGTTGCGAGGTCGGAAGATTGGATAAAAAGGAGCGGAGGCTGTTGACAGTCTAGCACACTCAAAGGCGTGTCAGAACAGACTGATATCCCAGAAATGACGGATAAGCTTGCAGTTCAGATGCAGTGTCGGTAGGACATCTATTGGCTGCACTAATCGATCTTGTTTGTAGCATAAGTCCCATAGCTTTACAGCCCAGTGCTGCAT